TAGATAAAAAAAATTAAGATGATATAATAGCCTATACTAAACCTATTAGTCATCAACCATATCATTCATGCTCCGAGCTTAATAATAATATTAAATCATTACAAGTATATAGGGGAAAAAAAATCAAACTCACGAAAATGGATCCTCCGTGTTGAGATGCCTTGAATTTATAATTTTGTCCGTTATTATTTTCACTATTATTTGGGTTGTAATAAGACTGTTATATTTTATCCTTGTTATAAGGTTAAAAGGCATCTGTATCAGATATCTCTATTCATTCAGAAATAAGAAACTCTTGAACTGCCCGTGGACGTAGGTCACACTGACTGAACCACGTAATTTGTGTGTCGTCTTCTTTCTCTTCTCTTTCTTTTACATATTGTCATAACATTGGTATCAGAGCTCTAGGTTACGCTAGGGCCTAATCTGAAGAAACGCAATGTCTTCGTACAAATTTGATATTGATAAATTCAATGGATCCAATGATTTCACTTTGTGGAAATTGAAGATGAAAGCGGTTCTTTTGCATGGTGCGGATAAATTACGCATAACTATGACTGATGATGAAAAGAAAGCGATGTTGGAAAAGGCGCACAGTTTGATTCTCTTGAGTTTGACTGATGAGGTTCTGCGAGAGGTAAGTGAAGAGACAACGGCTGTAGGGATGTGGAAGATGTTGGAAGATAAATTCCAGCAGAAATCCCTAACTAATCGGTTGTATCAGAAGCAACGTCTCTATACCTTGCAGATGTCTGAGAATATGTCTGTGAGAGATCATCTTGATAATTTTAACCGAATTATCTTGGACCTACAAAGTATTGGAGTTAAAGTTGATGATGAGGATCTAGCTATTATTTTGTTATGCTCTCTGCCAAAATCATATGAGAATTTTATTGATACTATGTTGTATGTGGATGACATGCTAATTGCAGCTAAGAACAAGACTGATATTGATGCTCTTAAAGCTATGTTGAGCAGTGAGTTTGAGATGAAGGATTTGGGTGCTGCCAAGATTTTAGGAATGGAAATTTGGAGAGACAGGAATGCAGGTCTACTTTATGTATCTCAAAAGAAATACATTGAAAAGTTGTTGCAGTCTTTTCAAATGGAGAATTCTAAGCCTGTTAGGACTCCTTTGGCAACACATTTTAAACTTGATGCTAGCACTCTTCCTAGTACTGATGAAGAAAAGGAGTATATGAATACGGTTCCTTATTCTAGTGTTGTTGGGAGCTTAATGTATGCCATGGTTTGTACAAGACCAGATTTGGCTCATGCTGTGAGTGTGGTTAGTAGATTTATGAGTAATCCTGGAAAGGCTCACTGGGAGGCTGTGAAGTGGATTATGCGATATTTGAAAGGTACTAGTAATATCTGCTTAGTTTATGGTTCTAATGATATTGGGTGTGGTCTTATTGGCTATGCAGATTCTGACTATGGTGGAGATCTCGTGAGGAGAAGATCTTTGACATGTTATATCTTCACTCTTTATGGTTGTGCTGTAAGTTGGAAAGCAACACTTCAACCTATTGTTGCTTTGTCTACCACTGAAGCGGAATACATGTCCTTGACAGAAGGGGTTAAAGAAGGTATATGGTTGCAAGGTCTTATTGATAGTCTGGGTTTGAATGTGCAGAGACGTATACTTTATTGTGATAGTCAAAGTGCTTTGTGTTTGGCAAAAAATCCAGTCTATCATGAAAGGTCAAAGCATATTGATGTCAGATTGAATTTCATACGAGATGTAATTGAAGAAAAATTGTTCTCCATAGAGAAGATAGCTACTGTAGACAATCCAGCAGATATGTTGACTAAACCTTTGTCTTTTGAAAAGTTTAAGCATAGCTTGGACTTGGTGAATGTTCGCATCGCTTGAGACCCTTCGGGGAGAATAGGCAGGAGAGTTGTGCTTGGTTACTGGTGACTTGGGAAAATTCAAGTCAAGGTGGAGAATTGTTGAGATGCCTTGAATTTATAATTTTGTCCGTTACTATTTTCACTATTATTTGGGTTGTAATGAAGCTGTTATATTTTATCCTTGTTATAAGGCTAAAAGGCATCTTTATTCATTCAGAAATAAGAAACTCTTAAACTGCCCGTGGACGTAGGTCACACTGACTGAACCACGTAATTTGTGTGTCGTCTTCTTTCTCTTCTCTTTCTTTTACATATTGTCATAACACTCCACAATGACATTATCGCTATGTGAGATCTCAACCATTCATTAAATTTCACCGATATAATATATTTTATCATAAAATAGAAGTTTGAAAAAATAAATGGTACGGTTGTATCACTTTAATTACCATCTAATATTTTCACTATAGAGATTAGAGAATCTCTTTAATTTTCCATTTCATATCGACTATAAATAATTTTCTATAAGAACTTATAAAGCTTAAACACCCTTTATTGAAATGAGTATTAAATTCTAAATTATGACATACATAACTCTACCTTTTTATATTACTTATTCTCGATCGTCTTTCTATATATAATTCTCAAGGATGGTTGATAACTCAGAGACTAAACACAAATTTTAGGTAAGTGTAAATATATTGTTTGTCAATGTTAAAAATTTTGAATAAAAATTATTAAAAAATAATGTTGGATGACATATAAAAAAATATTATTATAAATAATATATATAAATATAAATTTATTTGATATAAAATTATATATAATTTTAATATTAATTTTAAATAAGATTCAATAATATAATATACGTGACAATAGTCTTTTATATAAAAAAAACTGCCATGTAGTTATAATAATATATTACATATATATGAAAAGGTTTAGAACAAGAAATACATAACACTAACATATTATAGCTTAAATCCACCAAATCCAAACCAGTTAAAATTTAGTCATATATTTGGTTTGATTGATGTAACACCTTAATTACAAAATCTGAATACCATAAATTCCTATCAAATTGTATTTTAAAACTGGTCCTAAACATCCATCACCCATACATTCAATCCTATTTGGAAGCTCCTATATGTTAATTTCAGACTGATTATTTTATTTTCCTTTTTCAATTATGCTCCTGTAATGCATATTTATGCGTTTAAGTGTCCATTAATTCCCCACCTTTTCATTCATAGAATTTCCGCTTTCCAAGCATTTTGGCTTATATGATATATCTCCGGAAAGCATAACCATAAATTCAACTAACTCAAAAATAATTTAAAATTTAATTTAATAATTAACATATTAAACTTATTCATGAATTAATTACATTAAACTTTAATTAAAATTAAATTTCATAAATAAGTTAAATTTAAACCACATATAATTTAATTTATTTGATTCATAAATTAATTTAATATATAAATATATAATTTATATAATTGATTTTGTATTTAATATCAACTATTAAAACTTGAAAGAATCTTCAAAATTTTGTTATAAGTTAATAATGATATAAGAGATGAGTACCTTAGAGTTTCATAGTTATATATAAATTGAGTTTTTTTATTATTTTGTAAAAGATGAAATAATTTTTATTTTTTCAGACTTTTATTGTAATATTATGTATTTTGGAGGTTTCAGAGCTAGCTATATATTAGAATAAATTGTTTTATCTTTTTAAAAAAAATCTTAAACAATCATTTTATCTAAAATTTATTAATAAATTAAAAAATTAAATATAAGATTAAAAAAATTACTCTTAATTAATGTGATTTGAACAAATGAATTGAATTGAAATGCTCACAAGTTTGAACCTAATCAAGTTTGAATAGGAAAAAAAATCGTCAAATTCAAGCCAAAATTTAACTTAGATAAAATATTATTGAATTAAATAAATTTAATTGACTTAGTTGAACTCAATTTTAGCCCGGACAAATTTATGTTATACACAGTACGGGGCAAATGCCCCTCTAAAGTTAAAATATAATAATAATAATAATAATAATAATAATAATAATAATAATAATAATAATATATTATTATTATTATTATTATTATTATCACACAAGTAAAAAAATTAAGTGTTTTTAATCTTTTCTGTATTTTTAATTTATCAAAAGAAGTTCAATATATTATATTTTTAAAGTATTTGTTTTATAATATTTAATATTTTTATCTCATAAAAATAAGTCTCAATATGAGTGTTATGTTAATTTTGTAATATAATATTAATTACCTCTTTCTAATTTATATCTTTTGTAATATTTTTAGAAAATGATTTTTTTATATTGTTTATAATAAAAAAATTAATCAAAAGATTTCTTAATTTATATAAAATAACTATGTCAATACTTATGGACGAAAAAATTTAAGTATTGGTTATAATTAAGTTAAATTAGTAAAGGAATTAATGAGTAATAATTGACACAAGTTCATATTGTACTATTTTTGAAAAGAAAAAAGAGATAAAACTTTGATAAATGAAGTGTGAATGATTAAATGATTGTTTAATTATTAATATAAAGAAATATTTTTAAAAATATTAAAAATATAAGAATTATTTAATATTTTTAAATTATGAAATCTCATAAATAAAATAAAAATCATATCTTCTCTTACCTCCATTAAAATAAATATATCTCGATCGTTTCTCCATCTTAACCAAACAGTATTTCTAATTTTTTTTCTTCTCTCACTTCCATTAAAATCTCTATCCTCTCCTTACCACTACTTCTTTGAACTAGATAGAACCTAATTGTAGTTGTGTTCTTTGAATACTCTTTTATTTTTATTTGAAGTGGTAACAAGAAAAACTTGAACAAATAGTCAATTTTATGTATGAACCATACATTGAGAGACCAAGTCCACTCGTGCTAAATTCTTACCAACATCGCAAATAGTGAGTTTGATCATTTATTTTAACTAAGAAAGACCAAAAGTTCATTTAACAAGGAAGAACGTACATTAGTTACATTGAATTAAAAGAAGACCAGCAAAACAAGGTCTTCTTTTTTTAAAGAAACCCTAAAGTCTATATAAGTTCATATACATGTAGAGTATGCAAAAGAAGAGTTACAAAACAAGCCTACTCATCAAACTTTATCGTGCCTATAGGCTTGAGAGAGAATTAGATGGGTAGCATAGAGAGAAAATGGAGAGATCTTAGTGGGCAAAGTAACTGGAGAGGTATGCTAGATCCTCTAGACATTGACCTTCGCCGTTACATGATACACTATGGACAACTCGCTCAAGCCACATACGATGCTTTCAACTCAGACAAAGCATCTAAGTGTGCTGGTAACAGTCGATATGCTATGAAGGATTTCTTTTCCAAAGTTGGTTTGGAACATGGGAATCCTTTCAAGTATGCTGTGACCAAGTTCCTCTATGCAACTTCCAAAGCCAGTGCCCCTAAAGCGTTTTTCTTAAACATGTTTTCGAAGGAACCTTGGGCCATGGAATCGAATTGGATAGGGTACGTTGCTGTTGCCACTGATGAAGGCAAAGCAGCATTAGGGAGGAGGGACATAGTGGTTGCTTGGAGAGGAACGATTCAGGCCTCCGAATGGGTTCAAGATTTGGATTTCGACTTGGCTCATGCGCCACAAATATTTGGTGATGCTCCTGCCGAAGTACACAGTGGCTTTTACTCCGTTTACACCTCCAATAACCCAGGTTCACAATTCACTAATACCAGTGTTAGAAATCAGGTAACATTTAATGACGGGTTCAAGGACTAGGGAGGGACCCCAATTTTCTTAAACAATTAAGGCTATGTATGCATGGTTACACGTTTAAAATTTGTAATCTTAGGTTTCGAACGAAATGTTTATATTTTTAACAAATTTTTTTCCTTTTCCGTTGGGTGTAAATTACAAGTTCAGTTAAAGCAAAAGTTAGAAAAGTGTTACTTTTTGATTTAAAAAGTTAAGTTACACTGAACTTAACTTTTTAACTATAATTCTAACACACTAATTCTTTATGATAACTTGGCAACTCTATTATGTAGGTCCTGGAAGAGGTTAGCAGACTTGTGGAGAATTATAAGAATGAAGAAATTAGCATAACTGTGACAGGGCACAGTTTGGGAGCAGCACTAGCGACTTTAAATGCAGTGGACATAGTTGCTCAAGGGTTGAACATACCAAAAGACCAACCTGAGAAAGCGTGTCCAGTCACAGCGTTTGTATTCGCGTGTCCTCGTGTTGGAAACTCTAGCTTCGAGAAGATCTTCAGTGAGTACAAAGATTTGCGAGCATTGCGTGTTCGAAATAAAAAGGATGTTGTTCCGAAACTTCCCTTGGGGTACGCTCATGTGGGGGAAGAATTAGTGATCGACACTAGAAAATCAAATTACTTGAAGAGCGACGTGAGTCCGCATAACTTGGAGGTTTACTTGCACGGAGTTGCTGGCACACAAGGGAAAAAGGGAGGGTTCAATTTGGAGGTGAATCGCGACTATAAACTTTTGAACAAAAGCATTGATGCTTTGAAAGATGAATATCTTGTTCCCGTCGAATGGAGGGTACCGGAGAACAAGGGTATGGTTCAACAGTCGGATGGTACTTGGAAGATCATGGATCAGCGTAATGAGGATGGTCTTCAATTCCTACACTCTAAATTATAGGTTGTAATAGACCCAATGTTTAAGATTTTATGTTGTCTTTTGTGTGCTAATAACCACTAGCATTTGTAAGTTGTTACTTTAATAAATTGCTTGTGCTTTTGTATGGGGGTGATGTAATGTGAAATAAAGTTTTCATGAAATGAAACAAGTGTTCTTTGTATACCATACAATTTCTCCCTTTTTTTTTATCATATTCTCCAAAGTTAGTTGTAACTTGTAACTCTATATGCTTTATTTGTATCAAAGTATTCAAGGAATATCCCATCAAAATTTTCGATTTATGTAATTTGATTGGGATGGTATGAAAGTAACAGATGATGGGTCATTTTAACCTTCCACACAATTCATATAAAAACATTATTTTAAAATAAGCCTTGTAAGTATTATATTTTGAACAGAACGTGAATTATAAGTTTCAGCTTAGAATTTATTGGTAGATAATTTTTGTAAAGCATATGGTTCTTACTATAATGCCGTGTGCCACTACATTTGAATAAACCAACCCTAATTGCTGAAATAAAGTGGATTTTTGCGGGAAAAGTTGTCATTCTTCATTTAGTAATTAAGTACACATGTGTTACGAGTAAATAAAATAAGGGTTATCACAACCTGAGATTAAGCACATGAATAATCTTCTAATTAACATCACTCATTCATAAATGAAATATAACAACATTGTTATATATTAATTAAACAGCACACATATATAATCCAAATACAAACATAGTCCAATATAACATACATGTTCCTCAAATAGTGAGTCAAAACACACAACTAGAGGAGTCAAATAATAAATCCCGAGAATACTGTACCCTAAATACGCCTAGAAATAGTCACTCAAAAAGACCAAAGTGAGGGAAACACACAGAAACTGATCATGGATGCTACAATGACCAGTCAAGATGCCTGAGAGGAGGTGGTCATCAAGCACCAAGTCACAGGAGAACTTCCACCCAATCTTTCTGTATGAGATCGCAAGTCTTTCTTCTTATCGCCACTTGCCAATACTCCATCTACTTCACACATATTAGTCAATTAGTTGTCACAATATTTCCACCAAGTTGTTTGAAAGAGATAAGCAGATTAAATTATCTCGTTGCATTGTACACATAAATTCTTGGGTTCTAGCGGCTTACAAAGGAAGATGACATGATATCATCTTGCATGAAAGTATATAATCACTTATGCACTGGCACATATATACCAACTTACTGCACCAAAAAATGGAAAAGTTTCATAGATGATGTAAAATTTTAACAGCTAACAAATTTCCCATATATACCAACAAGATCCAACATAATTAGTTAATAATTGAGTTCCTTAAAAATATTGTCAAATCTTCGATTTTTGAATAAAGTCAATCTTAAGTTCAAGTGGGAGAGAATAAAAGAACACTTCTGGTATGATGAAATGCTCTCTCTATATATATAGGGTTGACAGGGTTGTCAATAGGGGAACCAATGGCCGCCGGCAACCAGAATCTGGTATCTATGGTTCTTGCATGGTGCACTACGTTGATATTATAATAAACTATGGCTTTGCACTTGTTTTCTCTAGTAAATGAATTTTAAAATAATTTTTTCCTTTGAAGGTGTTCATGGATCCTTCAAATAAGATATGCTCACTAGTAGTTACTAGAATTTTGCTTTGCCATCCGATATCAATAGTGATATAGAGAAGTATTTTTATGAAAATAGATCCTTTCCGGCCTGCCTCTAGCTCTCTAGCTAGGAAAAGTATAGAGAAGTGAAGAAAAAAAAAGTGTGATGCTAAATTTAAATAGAGACGGGAAATAAGAGAGATAGAGAAGATGAAGAAGGTTGGAAAAAGTACTAAAGTAGCTACCAATATTAAGGACCAACATGACTTGGTGTAATCTCCTCGGTCCTTAGTTCTTGATGTTCAAAATGGGTAGTAATATATGAAGAAAAGAAAAAAAATCGATGTCAAAGATTGAGTATACTTTTTTAACCTTAAAAATGTAAATGTATATATAAAAGAGAAAAATAATATAATTATTGAATGGATATTTAACTATATTTAAGATCGATCCTTTATTATTGTATAACAATTGGACATTATAATTTGTCAAATTTGATCATAAAAAAAATATGTTTAGTAGACTAAGTACTGCTTGATCTTGAAAAATATTTTATTCAATTAAACAAGTAATATCTAAATCTTATGTAGTTAAAGAAGTATCCTTCTAATATTAACAAGTCTTTGGTGTGGAAATTATGAACCCATCCTACACACATGGCGATATCCAATTTGCAAAACATTGTGCATTTTTATTTTTATTTTAGTTAGTTACTACCATGTTTATCTCACAATTTTAATAACTAAAATGATAGTTTAGTCAAATAAAAAAGTGAAAATTGTTTTGTTCTCTTTGACTCGTCTTTTGGAACTCGGCACCTTTTCTAAATGGCAGATTGGTACGTCATTTCACACCAACCATAGGACGCTTGACGTTTTAGATGTCACTAATAAAGACAAAAACTAATTTATCACATAATTTACGGAACAAATTAAATACTAGTAAAAAAATGACTTGGGTAACATGAGGTGAGGAAATAAAATGAAATTGCTTCACGAAAAGTATAATTTTTATCTTTGGAGAATGTTATCTAAGCTTTATATGTCAGCATATTAATCAAACAGTTAAAAATATTTCATATTTTCAACAATTTCAACGTTATTTTACTAAAATTATTTTTATATTACTTTTTAAACTTATAATAATAAGACTCTTTTACTTTTTGCATTGCTTTCTATATACAATTCTCAAGGAATTATTTTCTCGATCATTCTAAACAAACTAGGTGTAGTTGATAGCTCTTACAATATAAACAAACAAAATTTAGGTGAGCGTAATAAATCTATTAGGATTGACTAGAAATATCAAAGTCATCGAGAAAATATAAAATAAATAAATAATAATAATAATAAAGAAAGAAAGAAAGAATTGAAAGAGGAAACAACCGTGCGTACTTTGCATGTTAATTATCCATTGTTAAGAAACATCAAAATTTTAGGATTTCTAACTTGACAATTATGCGTCCTAAAGATAATGAAGGTATTATATATGTACATTAGTGACATATTACCTTATTGATAATTCAAGGTCTATTAGATTAGCAAACTCATCACAATTAATATAAATAGTAACGTATATTAAGTTTAAAAAAATATTGTTCATTCATTATTAACATTTATTACATTCAACTATTTAACTTAAATGTTGAAATGTCTTTTACAAATACAATTCTTAATTTCACATATTTGAAAACCCATTCAAAGAGTAAAAATATTGAAAAAGGTACAATATCCGAGTCAATTCTTTGAAGCAATTGAATTTTTGTGCAAAAAATTCCTTTTACAAAATAATTTTAAGACATCAAGTAATCATAATTATTATTTCTAAATTTTAAGATTAAGAAAATATCAGATTTAATTGATATTTTTTATTACAGTTTTCATTGGTATTATGTTTATATTAGTTGAATTGTAAAACTTGATTTTAATAATCATGAAATATTTTTATTTAAGGTTGTATATTGTTATTTTTGTTAATATTATTAGTATTATTAAATCCTTGAAGATTTTTTTATAATTTATTATTTTCGTTACGATTGATATTTATAAAAGCCAATTGAGGAAGCACTTTGAGCATGCTTAATTATCATAACTTGTGTCCCAAATAAAAGTCAATAAGATGTTACATTTCATCCACTTCTTTTCATTTATGATTAATATAATGAATGTAATTCGAACGTTTTACAACAAATGAATCAATTACTGTAATCACAATTAAGGAGAAACAAATGAAAACAAAATAAGAATCAATCTTTCAATGTAATGCATGATATCAATTAATGACACACTTTTTTGTTGTTTTAATACTAAATGGCCATTAAATACATTTTAACTTGAATTATGAATATATGAATAATAATGTGTGGAGTGTTTGAAATATTTTTCATTTATTTTGTTGATTATTCATGAACAAACCTCTTTTGAATTTTTATTTCTTATTTCCTCAATCAACAAATCCAGGAAAAAAAAACAATAAATAAATAAAAATAGAACAAAGTGGGCCCCTCATTCCATTGAAGCTGCCCATAGCAGCAAGAGGCAGTTGTAATCACTAGGGAGGCTTGAAGTTGCAGAGCCTAAAACTATAATTGCCATGCAAGGTGCAGTGATTATAATATTTTTATTATTATTTCTTATTTTATTGTATTTTAGATGTTTTCTTTTATGCCTTTTTTCACTTCTTTTGTTTTGTAAACTGGGTTGGACTGTATTTTAGATCGGCGCAAGAAGCCCAAAGTTCTAAATCCATTCATTGTTCCAAATTGGTCCAATCCAATTTCCACAAGTGAGAAGAAAAAAAAAAAAAAAAAACAAAGCAAAAACCAACTAAATAAGCGAGCCTTGAATCTATCTCGAAAAAGTTAATAATGAATAGAGAAAGAAAGAAAAACAAAACCATAAATAAACACTAAAGTTTTTTTTTAAAGAGGAGAAGAAAAAGAAGAAGAAATATTAAGATTTGAGAGCAGATAAATATATAAATTAGTAAAAAAAATGAGTGTGTTTTTCTATACCGAAAGTGAGTGATTTTCAAAATTATAAAAGTGTGTGTGATGTGAATTCAAGAATAAAGGTGTCTAAGAAAAAGTAGAGACCAGGAGAAAATAATTGATATGGAAGTATCGTCTCTCAATAGGTATAGACAATTTTCTTTTGCAGTAAAACAATTGTCATTTTTTTTCTGTTCTTTTGGCATAAAACAGAACATACCACAGCACTGGAATAATTGTTTCATGAAAACATTATGGTGAAATTTATCTCTGACGCATTGTCCTATTTACATTTCTTGCATAAATCAAAATAGACCACGTGCTGCAATTACTGGTGTACGAAAGTTTAGTACTTGTTTTATCCTCTCTTTTTTATCTATAGTGAATCAGGGATGTGCAAAAAAATTTAAATTGATCCGAATCGATCCATAATTGATCTAATTTGTATTGAAAAATTTAATTTAT